AGATATTCCAAAGTCAACTGTAAGTGGTATTATTACAAAGTGGAAGCATTTGGGAACAACAGAAACTCAACCAAGTAACAGAGTGGGGTCGTCAAGTGCTGAGGTGAGGAGAGATAATGGTATGAGGTTGTTTTTCAGGGGTTGGGCTAGACCCCCTAGTTCCAGTGAAGAGAACTCTTAATGCTACAGCATTCTTAGACATTTTGGACAAATCTATGCTTCAAACTTTGTGGGAACTTTGTGTTTTTCTGTTCTAGCATGACTGTACCTCAGTGGACAAAGCAAGGTCTATAAAGACATGGTTGGTGTGGAAGAACTTGACTGGCCCGCACAGAACCCTGACCTTATCCCCATCGAACACCTTGGGGATTAACTAGGACGGAGATTGCAAGTCAGGCCTTCAGATACAACATCAGTGCCTGACCTCACAAATGCTTAGGGGATTCTAGATGAATTCTCAGACACACCCCAAGATCGTGTGGAAAGCCTTCCCAGAAGAGTGGCAGCTGTTATAGCTGCAATGGGGGGACCAACTCCATATTGATGCCTATGTATTTAGAATGGGATGTCATAAAAGTTCCTGTGGGTGTAATGGCCAAGTGTAATATCTTTGTACTTATGGTGTATCAGACAATTCACCCATATTATTGCATATTTATGTTGAGTAAGTATGTTAAGGTTGAGTTGATGCAGAAATACTTGAATTTTAGTACTGATGACCACATATTTAACTTCTTTAACACACATCTTTATCTCGGTTTATGATTCTTCTCTTTGGAATCAATTTCATTTTATCTAAATATCTAGGCTAGTGCAATATAAACTGTCCGCTTACTTGCCACGGAGGCATGCAATCATCATAAATTTGTTTCAAAATATAGAGTTTTACTAGGTTGCTATGGAAAAAATGTCTTTAAACTGAAACCTTAAAATAACTTCTGATGAAGATCTATCTATACACAAAAGGTAACTAATTTAAATTAATAAACTTCTGCTCTGTGTTCTCACTATGCAGATGGCACAGTCCCCTTAAGCCCTACACAGTAAAGTTATTTTAGTTTAATCAAATTCCTGTTTTATTGATTCGATGATACAGCTAACAAATCCTTTACACTAATCTCAAAAAGGAGATTGGTAAAAAAAATACCCAAGACAGCATCTCCGAAGTGCCAAATTATCTAAAATGGATAAATGTCCCTAAATTCGTGATAAATCATGTTAAATTTTATCCCAGCTTTCTGCAAATCCTCAAACTCTACATGAGCAGCTGAAACCCTACATCAGCATCTCAAAGTGCTGTCTGTTTTTGCATCAAAGCAGTGGGACAGTCTTTTCATTGCTTACTACTTTTATTTTTAAACTTTCTTCTATCCAGTTTGTCACCTCTGACTTTAGTCATAGATCAAACATGGCTAAGGCATAAATCTAATGTGTTTAGCTGAAACACCAAGGCCAAGAATGCTGATTAAGTCAAATAAATGAAATAAAAGAGCAAAATCTATTTTCTGTTCTCTGTTTTATCATCATTTGCATTTTCTAAATGTGGGAATGTCTAGTGAGAGTTTAAAGTATTCGGATTGGGCAGACGGATTAAATAGCATGAAGCACACTATAAATACTAATGAGCACGTCGCATACTGTACATAAATGAGAAAGGAAACAGATGATGTATATTCACTTGGTCATGTTATGGCACTGAGGCAAGCTTTCAGTAGGTTAGTTACAGTATTTCCTGCATTTCTTGAATTAATTTGCTTGAAGCTGGTGACTTGGTGCTGCATTAAAACAAACAGGCTACGCACATGTACAGTAACAAATAAACGTTCACTCATCAGTTTTCCATACCCGCCTGTCCTATGCAGGGTCCGGGGATCCGGGGCCTGTCCTGGAGGGGCACTAGCCCATCACATACACATACCACATTATTCACACATACATGCATACCTACAGGCAGTTGGGCAACTCCAATTCACCTTAGCATGTTTTTGGACTGTGTGGGGACACAGGATAACCCAGAGGAAATCCCATGACACTACGGGGAGAGCATGCAAACTCCACACACATAGAGGCAGGCTAGAGATTGGAACCTTGGTCTCCAGCATTCTGCTGTCTCCTGAATCACAATTACAGTGAAATTTTTCAATATACGTAGATGTACTACTGAATTGCCAAGTGTAGATACTTGTGTTACTCCTGAACACGAGAAACTAAAAATCTGTTATATGAATAAGTGGGACAATCTGTACTTTGAAAATAGAAATTTTTGTTTGGTTAGTTCTAACCAAGGCTCTTTTGCAATTTTTTGGCCTGCGTGCTTCTCTGTCCTCTGTCTTTCAGCCGTCCAGCTAACCCATCCACACACTGCCCATCACTCTCTCTGAAGTCAAATATTTTACTTGCAAAATCTTTAGAATATTATCCTGCCCATTCTATAAGTGTCAAAACGAATAAATCACAAGAAAATGACTTAGAATAAGAATGACTTAGAATGGATTTCACAGCCTTTCTAGTACACGTGCTAAAAGTATGGCTTCATCTTCACAAAGAATTGCTATAGTTGGTCATTTCTATCATTGCATACTGTTTATTTTATGCTTTTATTTTGATCTAAAGATGCTTTGGCTCTGTACACATTGAGGTATTTATAACAGTTGTGTGAAACTGGTGAAGTAGAATTGTATTATTTTATTGTATTATATAGATATTAGCCTGCCTTTCCCCCATGCTGCCTAGAATAGGCTCAAGAGAAATGCTCTTTGAAAGCTATTATGTTTTTTCTACAAGGTTCAATATCCCTACATTGTTACTGATGAATTCAAGAGGTCAGGAGGAGAAAAATGGCCATGATGAATGTCTATATACTGTGACATCACAAACTCCCATGACTACTGTCATACCATCTGCATCGTACGCTTTTTCAATGAATTGTGGCCTTAGAGTAGGTGACTCCTTGACGTTGAAATACATACATGTAATATGTACTTACCATATTCATCTGTTAGAAGTTTTGCATGTAGTCATAATGTTAATTCTTGTGGTTAATTCTTCTGTGGTGTTACAAGGTCCACATTGTTATTTGACATTTAAAAGATATTGTGGTCGGGGATTAGGTCCTCCCCCAAGTGGAGGAGTTTAAGTATCTCGGGGTCTTGTTCACGAGTGAGGGAAGGATGGAGCGGGAGATCGACAGGTGGATCGGTGCGGCGTCAGCAGTGATGCGGGCGCTGCATCGGTCTGTCGTGGTGAAGAAGGAGCTGAGCCAAAAGGCAAAGCTCTCGATTTACCAGTCGATCTACGTTCCTACCCTAACCTATGGTCACCAGCTGTGGATAGTGACCGAAAGAACGAGATCGATGCGGAGGAGCAAGCGGCCGACATGAGTTTCCTCTGCAGGGTGGCTGGGCTCTCCCTTAGAGATAGGGTGAGGAGCTCGGTCATTCGGGAGGGACTCAGAGTAGAGCCGCTGCTCCTCCGCATCGAGAGGAGCCAGATGAGGTGGCTCGGGCATCTGCTTAAGATGCCTCCTGGATGCCTCCCTGGTGAGGTGTTCTGGGCATGTCCCACTGGGAGGAGGCCCCGGGGAAGACCCAGGACATGCTGGAGGGACTATGTCTCTCGGCTGGCCTGGGAACGCCTCGGGATTCCCCCAGAGGAGATGGATGAAGTGGCCGGGGAGAGGGAAGTCTGGGTTTCCCTGCTGAGACAGCTGCCCCCGCGACCCGACCTCGGATAAGCGGGAGAAAATGGATGGATGGATGGATGGAAGATATTGTGTATGCATGTAAAATATTTATTAATCTTTTTAAGTGGGTTAAATAATAGCGGAATTTATCGCAAGTTTTCTCGCTTCTTTCTTTATATTACACTGCCATGTATTTTCTATCAAATACAATATTGGTTTTATATACACATTTCAGTGGGTGGCAGTACCTATATGAAACTTCCTACTCTCTCTTTTTGCAGCTTTGCAAAGCAGTGTGAAATTGATGTTTTTTCCTGCTGGGATTGTCTTTCCAAAGCCAACAATGACCTCATTAAACTGAAAGCTATTTTACCATAGATTTTATTTGGTGTTTGAATTTTAGCAATCGAAGAAGATATACACTAAGACTGTGTCCTGTTGAAGCATAGATTAAATGTACAATATTCAGTTATTAACTACTGTCATTATTCTTATTGTGAATTAACCTTTAAAATCTCTAAAGCGGCCAAGAGACAATTGTTTGTTGGTGAAAAACAAACAAATATATAAATTCAGAAGAGCAACAAAATAATTGAGAATATTAAATAATGTTTAAATTATCCATCCATCCATCCATCCATCCATCCATCCATTTTCTGTAACCACTTGTCCTATTCAGGATCCTGTGGATCCGGAGCCTGTGGAAGCTGCAAGGGAAAGGCAGGGAATAACCCAGGACAGGGCGCCAATCCATCTCAGGGTTGTTTTAATTATTAAAAAGTTAAATGCATTGAAATGTGTGTAAAACTATGCAGAAAAGTTCCTCTTACTTTCACTTGTTATAAGATTTCATTTTATTCTGCTTTTCAGCAGTCTATCTAATCCCTTTTTTATCATCATATACAATGAGACACTGAATCTCTCTTTAAAAAGCATATTGAGAAACTTAAAGCATGTATTTTGTCTTCTGTTTGACATTTTTTCACTTGAGTGAGCACGAGTTAATTATGTTTCCTCATGTTTAAGGAACTGCAGTGCCAGCAATGAAATGTTATATGCAAGTTTCTCTAAAAATGAAATGACAGTTCTGAATAATAATTCTGCCTTTGTAAGTAAATACTCCTTTTTGTCCAAACCTATAGTTCATCTCCAAGCTTTAGTCGTCTTGAGCAGCACTGTATAGATTTGCCTGTGCATGTCTTGTTTGCCCACACAGCCTGTCCAGGATAAGTGCTTAGGGGAATGTGTGGATGTCCTCTGTGTCTGTCTTTGATGTGAATGTCATTGTAACGCTCCATCACTGTGAAAACATTTGTAGCGGTTGACCCCAAACAAGAAACAGTGGAGACCTTGATGCTGAAGTTCAAGGAGAGCTTCCGCACCAACACACCGGTAGAGATCACACACTTGCAGCAGGTGACATGCAGTGCCTACACTGGCAGGAAGAGGCGACGCAGTCACTGCAGAGGTAGGCCGCATGTGTTAATGTCAGCGTGAATGTGCTTCCCCTGCTCTATCTGCTTCTGGCTACCTGCTGAGCCTCTGGGCTTGGTCTGCATGGTCCAATGAGAACTGATGTGTTTGTCATGTGTGTCATCTGTTTATGACATAAATCAATGCAAAAATGGTTCATCTTATTTTATTTATTTTACCAATGTATGTAGTTTTATAAAAGAGTCTAATTATTATGATTTCAGAAACAAACTGGATTACAGGGGTATATCTATTAGAATAGTGATACTTTATTGATTCTCACTGGGAAATTGTCTTTTCACCTTTCTCATCTTGCTCTCTATGAGACACCAACACAAATTTTTTAAATTAAGTGCCCAACATTGGGGGTTCAAACCAGTGACCTTCCAGTCACCAGCCCAGGCTCCTAACCTGCTGAATCACACGCCACCCAATGTATGTCTATAATCTCTTTTTTATATTATGTGAAAATTAAAAATAAGCTAAAAAAATTAATAATTGAACTTTCAATTTGCAGTGATTGTCTTATTTACTGTTATGGTGCTATGAATCAACATTCATTGTCGCCTTATTTTTCAAGTGAAGTCAAGTTATTTCCAGAGTCGAAAATCACCAACAACCTGCCACTGTCTCAATGTCTTCCATCTGAAAATGATGCATCACTTGTCCGCCTGCCATTCACCCACAGGGGGTGTACCCTCACTGACATACTCAGTACGCTAATGCCTTTTGAGGGTGCTACAGATTATGTGCCAACATCTGAAATTGATGCAGTCAGCTACCACACTCGATGAATCCATCTTAGCCATTCGTAGTGAATACCTTAGGGTCACGCTTTGCAGTAAATTAAGAAGTCTGCTCCCTTTGTGATTGTTTGTGTTAGTGAGCACAAAAGCAACCATCAAAAACCAGCCAGGTAACAGCAAGGAAAATGCTTTTTAGTTATAAAGACCAACCAAGCTGAATTCTAAGATCATTTTCTCTTTTTATCAAGGAGGGGAAAAGAGCATTTCATCACCTAGTACCAGCAGGTTAACGCATACAGCTTTAGGAAGTATACAGCAGTGTAAATCTGACGTGGAGTGAATATTTTTCTTGCCAAGGCCTATCCTCCTTAGCGCTGCAGAACCTCTGCAGAACCTCTTCAAAACTACAGGGTGAGTCTTCAGACTAGATTATTGCTCACTGGTGAAAAATAAAAAATAAAAGTGAAAGGAAAAGCAAAAAAACATGTATGTGTTGTTGTAGATATAAAATAGAAAATAAAGTACCCACATACTTGAGCAGTAGGAGAGGCTGACAATATTTTTACCAGTGAATTCCATTTATAGTCATTGTATTTGCAGAGAACAGGAACAGTGCAGCAGGCGTATGAATGGTTGCTTGCCTAAAAACCTTATGAATGGGATGAAATTTCCTCCATAGAAACCATTTAAAATTGTCCACGACTGATATATTTTGGATGCAGACTTTGCAATAAAAAGTAGAAACTAAAGTAAAATACTGAATTTGAAAAGTCATGAATATGGGGAGAACTAAGGTATAATTTCACATAAAAAGCTCCTTGAATCATATTGAAAAAGATAGTGGGTTTAAAATATGCACACATGCACTGTATTGCATTATTTTAAACATTTATAATTACTGGATCTGTATTAAATGGACAGACAGGTTATTTCAGGAGACACAAATACACTCCACCTTTTTTTAGTCAGATCCTGTCTTGTTTACATGTTCACATCCGATTCTGCCCCTCACAACAAAGGTTTTTTGGGGAATGATGCATGATCTGATCATAAGAGATGCATATGCAAAGGAAAAAAAAGTGCACCAACTGACAGACTGAGAAAGGCAGCCTAGTTATTCTTCCCAGGAAACTGTAGATTGTACATCTGCAAACATCTTGTGCAGCAGCTTTTGTTCAAGAGCGACGTGCTTGGTATGGATGATTGAGGGAGTTATTGTTATGTGGACAGATGAAACTAAATTGGAGCTTTTCCACATAAATGAAAATTGTAAAATGAAATGGAAAAAAGTTAAGATGGCAATAATTTTGCACAGAGTGGCAACAAAGGAGACCTCATATTCATCCTGAATCATAATGATGGGAATATGATGATACATAATGACTCCTTTATTGTACATTTCCACAGCCCTTGCAGGGATAACTGACTGTAGGATGGATGGATGGATGGAGCACCTTAAAATCTTTCTAGAAAATGTGGTATATTTCCATGAGCTGATGCTTAATACAGAATAGGCCATGCAATAAGGGAACACAGCTGAGCATGCAAGAATGGTTGGAGTAAAATAAATTTGATGTTCTAGAAAGGAGATAATGTCACGACCTTCACTGAATTCAAATACTGTGGTAAGACCTGGCGTACATCTTATCTACTCAAAACAACTCAAAAATATCAAACAAAGAGAGAAGAGGCCAAAACACTTTGAATATTAATCTGTAGGTTATGAGAATTGTTAATGTCAGGCTTAATTGCTTTCTTAAATGAATGCTGTTTTTTTAAGCAAGATGAGTTGTATGACACAATGCTAAGCAGAGTGGGTGTACTGATGTAATGCTTCTTGTCATAGTTTTTGTGATTAAATATTAAGAAAAAAGACTTTAATAATAAATAACGAATTTTGATTGATGATAATGCATTTTAACATACTGGAGAGAAAGGTATCAGTCCATTTTGTAGTTGTTTTTTTGCATAGAATTTCTGGTACAGTTGCTGGCATCTGATCTTTTTTATGGTGTGCATGTTGTGCTTCTGTAACACCACATAATTTCCCTATCATTGCTATCAAAACATAATGTTCCCTCCACCTAATAATACTCCAAATTGGAATAAGGAAAGATATCTTAGTATGTTTCTTCCGTGAAATGTTCATGACATGACACTATTTTCCTTACATTAAACTCTGACAGCTGACAATTTAGAATCCCAAGAACTGCTTAAATAAGCAGTTTAAACATGATTGGCAAATGTGTAAAATTACTAGTCTAATTCGTAAGTTGTATTTATGATAAGATTGTGCGTGATGCTGGCTGACCTAAGTTACCGAAGGGGAGATTGGGGGCTGCAGCTGTCTACATCGGTGACTCTTACTGCGGAGTTTTATGTGAGAGACACTGTTTCACACCATAATAGCGCCCTGGGAAGAGAACCATGTGACTGAGGAACGACAGGGATAAGCCATTTGGATTTTGCAGCCCTTTAAGTAATCATTTGACTTACTGACCAGGTATATAATCTCATGAGGTGGCAATAAGCACGATTTGGAAAGCCTAGGTAAGTAGAAATGTTCTGGAGTTTCCAAGTGAATGTTGTTTTTGAATTTTTATTGCAGATCCAAGTAAATAAGATTGTATTCTGTTTGTGTGTCAATGTTTATGCAGTTCCGCAATATATATGAAAGAAGTAGTTATTTATTCTGTCTAGTTTTTATACTGATGCAGCTTCTGCTGTGATACGTCTAGTCTGGTGTTTGATTAACTCCTGCATCTTGGGAAGAGCTAAATTTAAGACTCAAGTTTTTCAAATTATTTTTAATGATTACGATCTATTTTTTTTGTCCTTCTGGCTGCATATGTTATCATAACAGTCTGTTTGATATAACACGGGTGTCATGTGCTTGCTCTCTCTCTCTTTGATGAAAAACACACTTGATCAAATGTTAGTGTATTGTTTTTTTGGCTCACATACAGTATCTCACTGTTTTTGGGTGAGCCAGTTTTGAGGTGCGCAGCTACACAGTAATGATGCTTGAACGATACACAAAGATGGAGGGTCGATACTGGGAGCCCATGAGCTGCCTGTCCAGATCATAGAGTCTTTATTTCTGCTTTTTTCCCTGGCTGAATTTACACAGTCAATTTTGAGTTGTGTACACTGTTCAAAACTGCTGTAAATGGGGATCGAACCAAGGGACCCTGCTATATATAAAGTGCCGTTTAAAGTTTTATACAGTATATAGGAGGGGAGATATATGGCTAGTAAACAGGATTTAAGAATAATAATAATGAAAACTGTGTTACACCTGTGTAGTTTTCTTTTTTTGCTACTCAACACAAGACGGCAACTAAAATAGTTTATACTTTAGGTTTACAATGTTTTAAAAAAATCCAAGGGAATACTCTGTCGTGGTACCCTTGTGGAAGGGCAACAACCTATATTTCCTTAAACTATTCCAGTGCAGTATCCAGCAGTTGAAGTAATATTTTAACAGGGAATAGAAAGTGAAAATTGTGCAGACTACATTGAAAGGTATGCAGAGACCACCATATACTAGTATATTCTCTTATGAATAACATAAAAATCTCTGAGATATATCTACTAATGAAATGGCCTTACTTTGTACTTACTTACTCAAGTGTAGCTAAATAAATAATCTGTGCAATCTGTGGCGGTCAGGAGTATAACAACGCTAATGAGGAAATGTAATGTTGGATTTATTAGCCACCTGGAAGGTCAGTTATGATTTTTAAAATATATCGTATTATGCCTACATGGCAATATCACCCATGTTCTAACTTGCACTCGTTTAGCAAGACAAGTCTGCTATTTAAATTGCCCTTAAAAGTAATTTACCCCATGTCACTTAAAGTTTTAAGTAATTTAATGAAAGTAATTGTCACGTTCAGCTCCGAACGATCCTCGTGTGTGCCACGCCCCCTCATTACCTCATGTCGACTCCTGATTGTCATCACCTGTTGCCTATTCCTTTTGCCTTGTCTCGTGTATTTAGTCCGAGTCTCAGTCAGTCTTCCCCAGATCCGTCATTGTAGTGTCCGTGGATGTCTCTACCTGTCTGTCGTTGGCTCATTAAAACCCCATTTATCCGTCTTCACGGCTCCATTCGCCTGCTTTTCGGCTCACCTGCCCCGCGATCCTGACAGTAATAAATAAAAAAATTACCAGGTACTTTTTTTTCCAAAATATCCCTTTTATAAACCAAACCACGCTGCTACTTTTTGTGTGTCTTTATTTT